AATCTTCAAAAATATATGTGCAAAGTTACAAACCTTAACGAGCATTGGTAGTCATTTACCAGCCCATTTAAAATCTTAAAAATAAAAAATCGAAAATGGAGGGGGTTCCCTTAATTGAATTTTATAAACAATTTCAAATTCAAACTATGAAGGAAATAATTCGAAATTCGCAAGAATTTACAAATGACAAATTAAATTTGTGGATTTGTTTCGAAAATAATTCAAATTACATGTAAAGATCGTGTAACAAATATTTTTGCCAAATTTGTGGGTTTTGTCACATCCTAATATAAATATGGCAGCACTTCGTATTTTTGTTATAACGAAATATAAAATAATGAAATTTACATAAAAACATTTATAATATGATTCAAATTCAATAATTTTTATAGAGAATATGACAAGAAATTAGAAAATGCTCAATAAATATTCTATTTTATTTTAATATTACCACCTCAAAAAATCAAATCAATGTAATCTTCGATAATTGTGGAGATTTATACCGCAGACTGTTTTTGACTGTCAACAGTGATCGTAAAAAAATTGAATTGCCATCCGCCCACTTATCACAATCACAAACTATTCACTTTCTTGGCGTGATCATATTTTTGCCACATTATCTTCATCTCATTATTATCTGCCTTTGGATCTTTCCGTGTATAACAGCAACAAATTGACAATTCCATTAATTCGATTACTTCATTCAGTAACTGATTTGTCATTATTTCTTTATTATGACCAATTAAATTTGCATAAAATTTGTATATCAAAATTACGACATTTCCCAAAATAATTGAAAATTAAGGCCAACATTTTAAATAGTCATTGTTGAGGTAGGCCCAAATGGTGGTTAGAGGCCTAGAAGCTAATTTTGGTGATTTCAACAGATAACTGACATAGAACTGCATCATATATTCGTATATTTTTAGATTTCCCTATTTTAGTCCTAAGTCTCAAACCAAATACTATATTTTGGCCAACCGCCAGGCATCCAACCAGTTAGTCCGCAACACTTTTCACAAAATAAAAAATAAAATCATTAGTAAATGTTAGATACACTCAGCATAGATCTGTTTTAAATAGAACTATTGCGCACGAGTTGGGGGGATGCAGTTTATTTCTCGATTCCTCTCAAATACATTGATAGTGAGAATTGAATTTACGTCAATATCGAATTTATGGTGGTATTGCCGAGATTGATGGACTCTCAGTTGATTATCTGACAACTAGACTCACCGCTAGCAAATTGGCCAATCATGTCACTGGCGTCAAATCTCTTGCGATACCATCAGAATAATATGCACTGGTGGATAAAAAGTGTTGAGTTTGATATTCTTAGACATAGTCAACATAGCGAATTTGGTAAATCGTATTAAAATTCTTCCATATTTCTTGCAAATCGGCATTATACGATGATGATAAATTACAAGAAAATGGAAATATGAACAATTATTCTTAAACGATTTAACCACTTCGTTCGTCTTTTGTAATAACGCTGATTTCCGAAGTAATTTAAATAGAGTGCTGACATTTAGCATAAAGTTGTCTTTTGTCGGAAGGAAGGTGGAGTTAGTTGGAAGATGGGCTATATCGGGCCACGTTTATACAAGGCATAGAACGGTGCCCTTAAATTTGCAGTATATAGATAATTTTTAGGATATACCGAAGTCCACTTTGCTCCATAACAAAATTAATTTTCTGTTGTTTTTTTTTTAATTTTTCTCAGTGTAAATTGCTGTTCCGTCATCATCACATCGATACAAGAATATTTTAATTTCTTTTCTTAGTAGACGGTCAGCGGTGAGCGTCATTTTGAAGCTTCTACTCCCACAACCGATGTGCCAAATATGTCAGAAGCAACGCAAACAGGTATTTCAGAGCGACCAAATTAAATAACAATTTGTTATTATGTGCATTTGTGTATGATTTTCTTCGAATAACAGCACTAGTCTACGGAAAAATATTTGTTATATTTCTAATATATTAGGTTGGGAAAAAAGAAAGCCATTATTTTTTAGCTCCAGTCGTAACATCGCACAGGAGCTAAAAATAGACAATAAAACTGTTTTAAACCATTTACAATTGACCAGAAATGGTCAGAATTGGCCAATAGGAGAGGTGTCGTGTTCCACCAGGACAACGCCACGCACATCAGGGGTAAATATTAATTCAAATTAAGAATTTTTTAATGCAAATTGAGCCTGTCGTCTGTCTATGGTATTAGTTAAAAATAATTTTAAAAATTTACAAAAAATTAAAAATAGAAATAAAACAAAGTTTACTTTATAAAAAATATAAGTTGATTGTGATTTTTTTTTTCAGAAAAAAATAGCTAATTTTTTCACTTTTAAAAAATAAAAAAGCTATATATATAGACGATACTACAAAGATTTTCTAAACCCCTGATTATTAAGCCCCGCAAGCAATCTTTTTCAAGCCAAGCTTGTCAAGCTGAAACATCCAAACAAGCGGTATATTTTCTGCAGCGAAGCGTACCATTACGTTTTCCAACACATTTGTATACACACTCTTCAAAAATACCGTAAATATATCGAACTCCATAAAAAGGAAAAACAGCAAAATACCATTATCTTGGTTTAACATTTTTCCTTCCCGCAACCACATTTTTTTGACATATACAAAATCTTGTTCTCTATCTGCGTAAACCACTTGGCTAGCTTTTTCCGTTGTCGATTGTACATTGGTGGCCATGTTTTTGCAGTGTCATTGTAAACTTTTAGTTTAGTTTTCTTTCGATAAAGAATTTTTTTGCATTCCAACTATCATTTCAAACATAACTAATGTATTTTCTTTAATATATATTTATTACAAAGAAAGTTTTTATAAATTTTTGTAAAATGTCACGGGTGGGGCACCTTTGAACCTGCCTATTAAACTCCAGTAAAAAACGGAGTTTTCAACTTTTGGCTTCGATTTCTCAAAATTTCAAACGGGCTAATACTAAATTAACTGTATTTTTTACAATAATATTTTCTGTTTTTATGTCACTTTATGTTTTAATAAATTTTGATCTGAATTTTTTAATTTTCGAAATTTTTTATATATTTTTTAATAAATAAATTCATTTCTGATATGTATGAATAAAATACATATGTATATATTTGAACATAAACACTGAGAAAACCATGCCGAGCAAGGTTTGGACACTTTGACTTTGTCAATTAAAACTTAAATTATGTCATATGTATAATCATTGTAAAGGTTACATATGTACCTATTAGTTAAAATTTATAAGAAACCAAAAATTATAAAATAGAAAATTTTATGAGGTTTGAAAGAAAAAAGTGTTCAAAGGTGCCCCCTATCCCCTATATATATATATATATATATATATTCGTTTAACATTGTAGCAAGCAATACCATTTTATTAGCATATGTTGGTACAAATTTTCCACACAATTACTTCCATTTACAAATTAAATGATATTTATATCGGCAATACCACCTATCTCGAAATGTACAAATAGCGTGAGCTGTTTCATATTGAACTTGAGAACCTACGCATAATAGAACCTTCACAAAACATAAATAAACAAAAATACAGAACATTGGCAACAGCAACATACAACAGAACAATGTTGTGAATTCGACATTAGCACTTCGGCGTGGAAATGGTGTCAAGGAAATGTTTTAGCTTGTTTCCAAATACCCACCAGATACCCAAAACATGCACAAACCTACTAACATCTATTTAATGTCGTAACTAAATTCACTTTTACACAGACTGTGTAGTGACACTCCCCTTGTCCAAATCCGCAAATCGCGTGTCGCTTCGTCGACAATTTGTGGAGAGTAGCATCAAATCTTACTGGATTTTATTCGCAAATTGCCACAATTATAATCATAACATATGCAATTATAGACTTCTGCTGCTGGAGTTGTGGAATCCATGGAGAATTGTATTCGTATATTGTTTCTAGTTTTGTGCCCACTTCATATGGCCAAAGTAGACGGATATCGCATTCGTACTATGAGAACATTGATAACGGCTACGCATTTACTAACAATGGTATACATTTGTTTTATTTGACTCTAAACTTTAAAATACATTGTTTGATAATGAGAGAATCGCCGGCATTCAAACACAAATCCTACTGCCACATTTTAGAACCACTAAAATGTTAAATTGTTTATTATCTGCAGTTAGTTGTTGGACAACGCTTACCCATTGACACATTGAGCGAATTATATTGGATGTAGGTTGTTTAATTGTTGTTTGTATTGGCGTTATTGGTCGACATTGAACTCGAACTGTCAAATACTGCATATTGATCTGGATGGGGTTTCTTCTGGGTCATTTAGCGCCTACATGCAAATATACAATGAATATTGTACCGGTATGATTGTAAGATCATCCACTACTATTATAAAACATTTGTTATGGAATTTTCCTCTCTTTTCTTAATTTCTAAACGTAGTATGAACAATTTTTTCCTAGAGGTGGTATGTATTCCGAATGGCAAATGTGGAAAGTTGTATGCATTTTTGAGAGGAAAAATCCAAAAATATTTATATTTTATAAAGGGAATTTGGGTTTTTATAAATATTTACCACTATATAATATAGTCATCTTCTTTATACTTTAAAAATAAAATGAACGATAATAACCCATTTTTGTCAACCCTAGCGATAAATATTTGAATAAATATTAAATTTAAGTCATTTAGTTTACAATATGATAAATAGTTATTTTGATTTAAAATTTATTTATTTATATTTTTTAAAGCTAAGTACATTTTTAAAATCCGTATGAAGTGTTAGAACTATATAGAATTCAGTGGTCGACTGAAAACTATTTGATTTAAAGGTTTTTTTATTAACTCCCGTTTCTTATCTGTAACGGCATCAAATCTTTTTGAATATTTTATTATTAATAATATATATTCTTATTTTCATTTCAGATTCAAAATCACATCGTTTTAAAAAATCAAATAATATATCTACATCTGTAGCAGGCAACAATATTTAAATTTGAGTTGGAAATTCCACCAACAATTGGCACTAGATTGGAAATTTTCTCAAAATGGTGGACTACTATAAAGTTTTAGATGTACCGCGTTCAGCGACAGATGCCGAAATTAAAAAGGCGTAAGTACTGTATAGACAGTACTTGATATTGTTTACCCTTTTAAACAATTAATTGTTTTCCAAATGCAGATACAGAAAATTGGCGTTAAAATGGCACCCCGATAAAAATCCAGATAATTTGGATGAAGCTAACAAACGTTTTCGTGAGTTATCAGAAGCCTATGAAGTTCTGTCAGACGGTAAGTTCATGATACATTCAACGATCATACGAAATACATTTCAATCTTATACCATTGAATATTCTCCAGCTCTTAATTGTTCTTGAGAATTCTAAACGAAACTTTAATAGATTTTCTTTTATAATTTCTGCACAAAAAAAAAAAAACACCCCACTCATCATGTGGTGTGGTGAAATTTTTATTTACCGGTGTGGGATGCAATTGCAGAGCGAAAACGAAAAATATACGATACTCGTTCGACCTTGCACAAGAGCAGCTATAGAAGCAATTCGTCATCGTACACTTCAAATGGAAGTTATGGCGGTTCGAACGGTTATCGATACCGCACTACAAGCGCTAAAGACTACGATGACTACATACCCAGTTATGGTTCGTCAAAGCGTGGCAATCGCTATCAATTTTTCACCTTTAGAAATCTATTTGAGTCCACACCATTCCACAAGTTGTTCGGTAAAGAAGCTAAATGCCTTGGTGTTTCTATTCCACCTTTGATTGAATTTGAATTTATCGTTCGTACTAAATCGCATTGAACAAGATTGCACAAAAGCCATTGTGGCAAAATGATCAAGAAAAACAAACAATATCAGCTGCTCAAAATGGTTGCTGTAGCGCACAGTGGTTTGAAAATATTGCAAATAGTTATTAATATTGCAATAATACGAAAATTAGCAAATATCTTATAAGGATGTTTAAAATTATCTAGTTATATATATATATATATATATATCTATATATATAAAAGAGCTTAGTGTTAAGTGATTGAGTGAGTGAGTGAGTGACCGACAGATCATCGCCCAGACGAAACGGTTAAAGCTAGAAGCTTGAAATTTTGAGTGTGGGTTGGTGTTGGTGTGTAGGCGTGAGATAAGGCTGGGTTTTTGGAAATTCGAACTAGAAGGGTACGAAAAGTACTAAAATGTACCAAATATGGTACCTTTGTATTAGGCGAACGGGAAGAGCTAGAATTCTGAAATTTGGAATGTGGGTCACTGATGTAAAGTTAGGAAGATGTACAAAAGCGTTTTTGGAAATTCGTACTAGAACGGTACGAAAAGTACTAAAAAGTACTAAATGTGATGCCATTTGTATTTGGCGAACCGGTAGAGCTAGAACTCTGAAATTTGGATTGGTGGTCGCTGAGTGTAGGATAGATGTACGGGTTTTTGGAAATTCGAACTATAAATATCCGAAAAGTACTAAAATGTACTTAATTTTGTACAATTTCGTAGCATGTGAATTGATAGAGCTAAAAACTTGAAATTTGGAATGCGAATTAGGGATGAGATGTAGAGTCCATTTAAGGAGATGGTTTTGAAAGCGTGTACTCATGTGTACGAAAAGTACTATATGATACTATATTTGGTACAAATTTAATTTGGAGATACAAATCGAGCTGGAATCCTGAAATTTGAAATTAACATTACCGTCAGAGTATAGGATTGGGAATGTACGTAGTTTTGGAATTTTTTTACCCAGTTTCAGTAATTTATATTCATGGGTACTAAATGGTACTAAATTTGGTACAATTTGAATTTTATGCGAACCAATAGAGCTAGAATCATGAAATTTGGAGTCAGGATCACTGTTGGGGTGTAAGATCGAGATATGTAGGAAGTTTTAAAATTTTTTACTAATGTGTACTAAATTTGGTACAATTTGAATTGTGGGTGAACCCATAGAGTTGGAATCTTAAATCATGGATTTAGGAACACTCTGGGGGTGAAATTTTGGGTTAAGTGGGACGTTTTGGAAATTCGTACTACTGTGTACTAAATTTGGTACAATTTGAATTGTGAGTGAACCGAAAGAGTTGTAATTCTGAAAGTTGTATTTAGCATCTCTGTTTGGGGTAAGTAAGAAGTTTTCGAAATTCGTACTACTGTGTACTTAAACCGATAGAGTTGGAATCCTGAAACTTGGATTTAGGATCACTGTGGGGGTGTAGGATTGGGATATTTAGGAAGTTTTGGAAATTGGTACTACTATGTACTAAATTTGGTACAATTTGAATTGTGGGTGAACCGATAGAGCTGGAATCCTGAAACTTTGAGTTAGGATCACTTTGGCGGTGTAGGATTGGGGTATGTAGGAAGTTTTGGAAATTCGTACTACATTCGTACTAAATTTTGTACAATTTGAATTGTGAGTGAACCGATAGAGTTGGAATCCTGAAACTTGGATATAGGATCACTGTGGGGGTGTAGGATTGGGGTCTGTAGGAAGTTTTGGAAATTCATACTACTGTGTACTAAATTTGGTACAATTTGAATTGAGGGTGAACCGATAGAGTTGGAATCCTGAAACTTGGATATAGGATCACTGTGGGGGTGTAGGATTGGGGTATGTAGGAAGTTTTGGAAATTGGTACTACTATGTACTAAATTTTGTACAATTTGAATTGAGGGTGAACCGATAGAGTTGGAATCCTGAAACTTGGATATAGGATCACTGTGGGGCTGTAGGAAGTTTTGGAAATTCGTACTACAGTGTACTAAATTTGGTACAAATTGAATTGTGAGTGAACCGATAGATTTGTAATCCTGAAACTTGGATTTAGGGTCACTGTGGGGTTGTAGGGTTAGGGTAAGTTGGAGGTTTTGGAAATTCGTACTACTGTGTACTAAATTTGGTACAATTTGAATTGTGAGTGAACCGATAGAGTTGTAATCACGAAACTTGGATTTAGGGTCACTGTGGGGTTGTAGGGTTAGGGTAAGTTGGAGGTTTTGGAAATTCATACTACTGTGTACTAAATTTGGTACAATTTGGATTGTGAGTGAACCTATAGCGTTGGAATTCGGAAACTTGGGATTAGGATCACTGTGGAGTGTAGGTTTGGGTTAAGTAGGAAGTTTTGGAAATTCGTACTACAGTGTACTAAATTTGGTACAAATTGAATTGTGGATGAACCGATAGAGTTAGAATTCTGAAACTTGGTTTTAGGATAACTGTGGGGGTGTGGGTTTAGTAAGAAGTATTGGAAATTCGTACTATCATTATGGGGGTGTAGGATCGGGGTATGCCGGAAGTTTTGTTGGAAGTAGAAGGATACGAAAAGTACTAAAATATACCAAATATGGTACCCTTTTTATTAGCGAACGGAAAGAGCTAAAATTCTGAAATTTGGAATGTTGGTCACTGATGGAAAGTTAGAAAGATGTGCAAAAGGGTTTTTGGAAATTCGACATATAAGTGTACTAAAGGTACTAAACTTTACAGAATTTAGTTCCTATTGTATATATATTGAACATATATAGCTGGAATCTTGACATTTTAAATGGAAAACATGTTGGGAAGTGGTGTTGATGTACGGAAATGGTTTAAGACATTCGTACTTATGTGTATAAAAAGTGTAAAATGGTACTAAATTCCGTACTATTTACCTTCAGTTGAGTGTGTAGAGATGGAATCTTGATAATCGGAATTAGCTTTAAAAAATCGTACTTATTTGTATGAAAAGTACTTAATTGGTACTAAATTTGGTGGAAGTTGGATTTAGGTGAACAGATAGAGCTGAAGTCTTCAAATTGGGAATTAAAATGACTTTTGGAGTGTAGGACTGAGGTAGATTATGCAATTCGTACTTTTTGGTACGAAAGGTATATATGGTACTAAATTTAGTACAATTTGGATGTTGATTGAAAGGATAGAACTGAAAACCTGAAATTTCTGTTGTAGATTGAGCTATAGAGACATCTTTGGAAACTCGTATTTATGTATACGAAAAGTACTAAGCGGCACTAGATGGATTTGGGTGAACGGAGAGAGCTGGAAACCAATAATTTGGACTAACGGTTGATGTTTGAATATAGAATTGAGATATGGAAGCATGTCACCTACCTACTACTAAATAGTACTATATTTGGTACAACTTGATTACGTGTGAACGGATAGTGCTGGACTCCCGAATTTTTTAATTAAAATTACTGTTGGAGTGTAGGATTGACATAGTTTAGGAAATGTTTAATTATAGAAACAAAAAGTACTAAATGGTACCGAAAAGCTTACAAATGTGTGAACGGATAGGGCTGTATTCTGAAATTTTGAATTAATATTACAGTTTGAGTGCAGAATTGAGATATGTCGGTAATTTTTTAAAATTCGTCATTATGTGTACTAAATGGTAAAAAATTTTGGTACAAGTTTGATTCGAGTTAACGGATAGAGATAGTAAACGTAAATTTGGAATTAAAATTACAAGATTAAGGAAGTATTGGAATTTCGTACTTATGGATACGAGAAGACCTAATTGGTACTAAATATGGTACAATTCTTTTTGTGTGGGCGGGAATCCTAATATTTGGACTTAAAAATAAGGTTGGAGTGTAGGATGAGGTAGTTTTAAAAATACGTAATTATCTGTACTAAATGGTGCTAAGTTTAGTACAATTTAGATTTGAGTGAAAGGATAGAGATGGATGGATTTGAAAATAAAATTACTCTTATAGCAAAGGATTGAGAGAGTGTTGGAAATTCGAACTCATGAGTACGAAAAGTACTAAATATGATACAAATTGTGAATGATCTATGTGAAGAGATAGTGCTGTTATCCTGAAATTAATGAATAAAATTACTGTTTCAGTGGGAAATTGAGGCAGTTTTAGAAACTCATACTTACGTCTACGAAAAGTAATAAATGGTACAATTTGGATGTTGGTGAACGAATAGAGCTGGAATCTTTAAATGTGGACCTAAGGTTGTTATTGGAGTGCATGACTGAGGTATTTTTGGAAATTTGTACTTTGGGTACGACAACCAAAAAATTTGGTACAATTTGGACTTTGGTGAACGGGTAGAACTCGAATCCTGAATGTTGCAACTTAGGTTACTCTGGGAGTGTAGGAAAAGTACAGAATGGTACCAAATATGGTACAGTTTAGTGAACAGATAGAGCTGAAATTCTTAAATTTGGACTTACGATTGAAAGCAGGTTTGGTATATTGAGATTGGTTTGGTTATGGGTACGAAAAGTGCGGAATGGTTTCACTCAGAGCTGAAATTCTTAAATTTGGACTATCTGAAAGAAGGATTGAGGTACATTTGGAAATTTTTACTTATGAGTACGAAAACCACTAAATTTGGAACAATTTGGACTATGGTGGAAGAAAATTCACTAAATTTGGAATATTTTGAATTTGGGTAACGGAGAGAGCTGTAAACCTAAAATTTAGAATGTTGGACATTGACAGAGAGTTAGAAAGAAGGACCAAAGGGTTTTTGGTACTAATTTTAGAGGAGGTGACGGTATAGAGGTAGTCTTGAAAATGTATACGTATGTGTTCGAAAAGTTCTAAATGGAATTACATGTGAAACCTGTACGTTTTTCCTAAAGTGTGGATTTCGGAAATTAGTGCTTATGTGTATGAAGAGTACTTAATGGTAATAAACTTGATATTAAATGTAGGAATAGAGGTGGAATTCAGAACTATAGTACAACTAATTATACGGTATTCACGATTTCCATAAGAAATATTTTTTTATTCCCTTTCCGCATACGAAGTAGCGGGTACTTTGCTAGTATAAATATATA